AAAGAAACTCTCACTGACAAATGCAAAACATAATAAAAGCAGTAGATCAAACAACTATAAAGTTATTACAAAGATTAAAAGGCAAAAGTAGGAAGATCATATTTAATTACAACAATAAAGAGATACAAACACACACACAAGAAGTTAAAAAAAATGATAAAAAACAAAAGTGGATGGTGTGAGTAAAAATTGTAGATTTTAGAATGTGTTCAAACTTAAGCAACCATCAACTTAAAATAGGGTGCTATAAACATGGCTTGGTCTATAGAAAACACATGGTAACCACAGCTACATAGGTAATCTAGGCAGAAAGTCAACAAGGAAACAGGGGCCTAAAATGGCACATTAGATTAGATAAACAATATTGATATTTTTAGGACATTTCACCAAAAAACAGCAGGTCTTGGTTTACAGTGTGGCCTGTCCCATGTGCCTTCAGACCCAGCACAGGCAGCCACTAACCATGGTTTACTTTGTAGTACCTACAAGCTAATGCTGAGTTGGTCACAGGCAGTGCCTGACGTTGGCCTATACTGAAGCCCTTCCAATAGGCCCCAGAACCTATAAACTTAGTGGCCAGCTTCAGGCTACAACAGAACACCACCCAATTAGCTCCACAAATGGCACAACCAAAGGGTGGTCTTGGCAGGCAAACCAATTGAGGCAAACTCCAGTCCATGGAGTCATCCCACACACATCAGTTTGAACACTTTGATTAAGGCGAATACTCACAGTCAATCAGCCTGAGGGTCACCCCAACCACTGATGTTCCAACAACAATCAAGGTACAACTACAACAGGAGGGCACACACAACCCACACAAGTAAAGTCCTGGAGTACCCAGCTTCAGCAATTAGGGAGACTGAGCCACGGGTCCCCAGGACATATACAACATAAGGCCACACTGCCAACTTGGGAGACATAGCAGATCTAACTAATACCTGGAAATGAAAATAGAAACCCTATAAAAGAACCAATCAAAAATAAAGAATATAATAACTTAAATGAAAAATACCCTAACAGAAATTAACAGCAGATTCAATGAAGTAAAGGATTAAATCAGTGATTTGAAAGAGAAGGTAGTAGAAAACACCCAATTTAAACAGCAAAAAGGGAAAAAAAAAATAGGATAGTTTAAGAAACCTCTGGTATAACAATATTCACATCACAGGGGCACCACAAGAAGAGTCAGCAAGGACTAGAGAACCTATTTGAAATAATAATGACTAAAAACTTTCCTAACCTGGAAAAGGAAATAGATGGACAAGTCCATGAAGCACACAGAGTCCCAAACAAGATGAACCCAAAAGATGGCCACACCAAGACACATTATAATTAAAATGCCAAAGGTTAAACACAAAGAGAGACTCTTAAAAGCAGCAAGAGAAAGGCAGTTAGTTACTACAAGGGAGCTCCCATAAGACTGTCAGCTTATTTCTCAATATAAACTTTTCAGGCCAGAATGAATTTGCACAAAATATTCAAAATGATGTAAAGCAAGGACCTACAACCAAGAATACCCTATCCAGCAAGGCTATCAGTTAAAATTGAAGGAGTGATAAAGAGTTTCCCAGACAAGAGAAAGCTAAAGGAGTTCATCACCAACAAGCAGTAGTACAAGAAATGTTAAAGGAGATTTTTAAAGAAGATGGGGGGAAAAATGAATATGAAGAATAAAATGGAAATAACTACATACCTATCAATAAACACTTTAAATATAAATAGATTAAATGCTCCAGTAAAAAGGTATAGGATAGCTGAAAGACTAAGAAATCAAAGCCATGGCTGAGTAACTCAGTTGGTTAGAGCACTGTCCCGATATGCCAAAGTTGTGGGCTCAATCCCTGGTCAGGGCACATACAAGAATCAACCAGTGAATGCATAAATGAGTGGAACAAATAATCAGTGTTTCCCTTTGTCTCTCCCATTCTCTGTCTCTCTCTAAAAATCAATAAAAATTTAAAACTAAAAAAAGAAGTAAAGAAAGAAAACAAGACCCATACATATACCATCTGGAAGAGACCCACTTCAGATGAAAGACATACACAGGCTGAAAGTAAAGGGATGGAAAAAGTCATTTCATGCAAATGGAAACGAAACAAAAGAATACCAGAGTAGCAATACTTATATCAGACAAAATAGACTTTAAAACAAAGTCTATAATAAGAGACAAAGAAGGACATTTTGTAATAAAGGACTCAATCCAATAAGAGGATATAAACATTTGTGCTCCCACACAGGAACACCTAAATATATAAACCAAATATTGACAGACAAAAGGGGAGAAATCAATAATAATACACTCTGAGTAGGGGACTTTAATACCCCATTGTAAGCAATGGATAGATATTTCAGACAGAAAATCAACAAAGAAACAATGGCCTTAAATGGCACATTAGACCAGATGAATTTAATTGGTATTTTCAGAGCGTTTCATCCCAAAGTAGTAGAATATACATTCTTTTCAAGTGCACATGGAATATTCTCCAGGACAGACCACATTTTAGAACACAAAAGAAGTCTCAATAAATTTAAGAAGACTGAAATCATATCAAGTATCTTCTCTAACCACAAAGGTATAAAACTAGAAACCAATTACAAGAAAAAGCTGAAAAACACATAAACACATGGAGACTAAATAATATGCTACTAAACAATGAATAGGTTAACAAAGAGATCAAGGAAGAAATCAAAGACACCTTGAGACAAATGAAAATGGAAACACAACAACCCAAAATCCATGTGACACAGAGAAAGCAGTTGTAAGAGGGAAATTCATAGCAATACAGGCCTACCTCAAGAATCAAGAAAGTTTCAAATAAACAATCTAACCTTACACCTAAAAGGAAGTAGAAAAAAGATCAACAAAAAAACCCAAAGTGAGTACACGCAATGAAATGATAAAAATTAGAGTGGGAATTTAAAAAAATAGAGTCTAAAAAAAATTCAAAAGATCAATAAAACCCAGAGCTGGTTCTCTGAAAAGATTTTAAAAGTTGATAAACCTTTAACCAGGTGAGAGAAAAAGAGAGAACCCAAATAAATAAAATCAGAAATGAAAGAGAAATAACTGATACTTCACTAATACAAAGGTTTAAGAAAATACTACAATTATACGCCAAAAGATTGGAAAATCTGGAAGAAATAAATTCTTAGAATCATACAATCTTCCAAGACTGAATTGAGAAGAAACAGAAAATCTGAACAGACCAATCACTACTAACAAAACCAAACCAGTAAACAAAACGACCAACAAATAAGTGTCTTGGAACGGTTGACTTCACAGATGAATTTTACCAACATTCAAAGAATTAACACCTATCTTTCTCAAACTATTTCAAAAACTTCAAAAGGAGGGAAGGGTCCCAAGCTCATTTTATAAGGTCAGCTTTACCCCAGTTCCAAAACCAGACAAAACATTACAAAAAAAGAAAATTATAGGTCACTATCTCCCATAAACAGATGCAAAATTCCTCAACAAAATATTAGCAATCTGAATTCAGCACAACATTAAAAAGTCATACACCATGACCAAGTAGGGCTCATTCCTGGGATGTAAGGTTGGTACAATATCTGCAAATCAATTAATGACATTAAAAAATCATATGAATATATCAATAGATGTAGAAAAAAAGAATTCGACAAAATCCAGTACCCATTGTTGTTAAAAACTCAGCAAAGTGGGAATAGAGGAATCATTCCTCAACCTAATAAATGCCATATATGATAAACCTACAGCCAACTTCATACTCAATGGGCAAAAACTAAAAGTATTTCGCTTAAGAACAGGAACAAGACAGAGATGTCCCCTTTCACCATTCTTATTCAACATAGCGTTGCAAGTCCTAGCCACAGCAATCAGACAAGAAGAAACAACAAAAGGCATTCAAATTGGAAAAGAGGAAGCAAAACTCATTATTCACAGATGACATTATATTGTACATGGAGAACCCTAAAGGCCCCAACAAAAGACTATTAGAGTTAATAAATGAATTTTAAAATGTAGCAGAATACAAAATTTACCCCCAGAAACCAATGGGAATTTTATACACAAATAATGAACTCTCAGAAAGAGAAACTAAAAAGTTAGATGTAAAAGGATGAAGAAAGGCTATGTAAACATAACATAAACAGTTGGAGTGGTTATATTAATATAAGAGAAAACAGGCTTTAATGTCCTTTTGGTTTCAGTCAGTCTAGAACCCTTCCTAGGTGATTCTACAGTAGTGGATTAAGGCCAAGGGATAGAGGGGAAAAATTAATAAATGGCCAAAGGTAACACACAAAGTCCCAGGGATTCCCTAAGGGAAAGGGAAGGATTAGGAGTATTTAGCATTCAGGTTCCTTATATTGGGGGCAGGTTAATGACAAAGACTGCTTTTACTACCAATAAAACATGACTCACACTGACAAAGATTCTCTCCTTGACCAAATTCTAATCAGGCTCCTCCGAGCTCTCGTTCAACTATGTCTTGACATTTGGGCTTCTGTGTTCATCTTTGCATTGTTTAATTTTATTAAGAATCCTGCTAACTCAGTTTAATCAGAATCCCCACCCTCATTATCTGAACACCCTTGATATCTGACCAGGTTCCTCATCTTCCACCATCCCCTAAATGATGCCTAATCACTCTGCATTGGCTTCGGCAAAAATCCTGCTAGGTTGGTTTCGCCAGAAAACCCTTTACCCCTGATGCTTTCTTAGTAATTTTCCATCCACTGACCCATATCCTGCTCCTTGGCTGTAAATCCCCACTTTTCCTGTTGCATTCAGAGTTAAACCTAATCTCTTCCCTATTACAAAACTCCACTGTAAAAGCCCCTTTTGAATCAAGTCTGTCTTACCATCTTTAACAAGTAATGTAACTCAGCCTTTAACAGCACTCATGTGGGTTCCTCTGCAAGCTAGTGTGGCTTAGGCAAAGACACACAGATATACACAGAACAATTGACTCACATATTTAATTTTTAGTATTCACCCATAGTAAAAGTTATCTTACCGCCGCTAATCTTTCAGCATGGTATTCTGCTGCTGAAAAATATTTTCCTGGTGTTACCAGTTTATCAGTCATATTTGATACATACACACCAATTTTAGTCATCTGTGTGGATGTCATATTTGTAGTTTGTTGAAGCTTTTTCCTCTGAAAAACTGTCTAAAATAAAAACATAATAATTTTAAATAAACATATATTGTATACACATATAAATGAGTAAAAAGCATATTTTCCTACATAATTAAGTTAATTTTCTTTCATTATTTTAATGCCATATAGTTCCTTAGAAGATTTTTATTTGAGAGAGGTATACAGCATAACAATTGCTGATTTGATAGCCTCAAAAACCTATAAGGAAAAATAAAAATATTACCTGGGCATCCCTACAAAATACACTGTATTTTTGAGGAATCTTTTTAGGTACAGTTTGTGTTCCAGCATTGTGATATTCTATTCCTGTTATTTTATGTCTGAATCCACCAAGAAATGGTTTGTGAAAGTCAGATTTTATAATCTCAACAGCTACCTGCTGGTACTGATCAATGCCTGAGGAGATAAAACCAAGACTGAATGGAAGTTCAACTACAAATCAAGTCTAAAATACTTCACCTAAAAGACATCAAATAACTAACCAGTTTGTACTCTGACAGTTATGACTTGAGAGGCATCACTGAGTTCAATTATTCTTTTGATTGGATATAGATCTGGATGTATAGAAAAGATTTCCACTTGTACAACATCCCGCGGCTTAACTCCATGTTGTAGTAGAGTCTCATTATTTTTAAGAATCATTCCTAAAAATGATATAAAATTACAAGTGTTACGACAAAGAAATGACTACATATATTCATTTTAAGGGGATAGAAAACATCAAAGGTGTTTATATAAACACATGTTGTTTAATTACCAAAATATTGATTGGTATCAAGTACCAGTGGTGTCCACCTCTTGCTATAATGTTAGTACAGAAAACTCCACAATGGGAAAAGTTAAGGTGGTACTCAGGAGCAAGAATTCAGCATTATAAGTAAAGCTACAACTCTTAACTCATCAGAAATGCAAATATATAATAACTATGCAACTCTGTAAACACTTTAAAAAAATTAAAGCCTATTCTATAAGATGAGCAAAATCACTCTAAATACTGACTCTCTAAAAAATGACAGTGTGTTATATGTAAGCACAGGACATACCATAACAGGGAAAACCTAATTATTTTAATACCCTTATCTCTAAGCAGAAAAGTGTATGGTCAGAATTCCAAAGAATCCCTTCCTTTCTCTGCTTCTATAATCAGAAACTCATAAATTAATTAATGCCAAGGTAGAACTAAGCCTCAGTTTTGTGCTTGAAAAGTATACATCACTTTATTTTTATGTTGTATTGCTTCAACTTCTACCTTCTCCTCATTGGTTTATTCTATAAATTTACTCATTTATTTCTCTCCTTTAAGGCATACAAAAATATGTATAATGTTACTGGCTGCTGTTTTGTTTCATGGAAACTTTATTGATAGAACCCATACCAATTTTCCAAAGTATGGTCTTCCTAATTATAATAAGTAAGTTGAGCATAGCGAAGGTTTTGGTATATTCATTCTCAGAAATGCATCAGATACCACAGTTTTCTAAATGTTTGACCATTATCAATATATTTTTAATTTTTTAAAAAAAATTTTCAATTACACTTTACATTCAATATTATTTTGTATTAGTTTCAGGTGTATGGCATAGTGGTTAGACAAGTATATACTTTACAAAGTGTTCCCCCTGATATTTCTAGTACCCACCTGGATCCATATATAGTTCAAGAAAGCACAAAAACCACTGAGTTTCAGTATTTCACCCTAAATTCTTAATTTAAAAAATTAACATGAATGTTATGGGTTTTGTGGTGGGTTGAAATAATGGTCCCCAAATATATTCCTGTCCTAATCCCCAAAACCTATGAATGATACCTTATACGGAAAAAGTGACTGTAGATTTTATCAAGGATTTTGAGATGGAGAGATGATTCTGGATTATCCAGGTGGGCCCTAAATGTAATCACAAGTACTCTTATAAGAGAAACCAAGAGGGACATTTGATTACAGAAGTGAAGATGATATAGTAGGCTGTCCCACCAAACTTGAATTCCAGTTCTAGTACCAGAAGAAAGCACCTATGTTAGAGGGTGGTTGGTTGACACAGAATCCAGCTCTTTCATTATTATTACTTCTGACATAAGCCTGTTACCTAGTGGTGATGCCAAGTACTTACACATAAAAAAGAAAGATCATGAAGTGCAAAGAGATTCTTAGATACCATTGGCCAACTATTCCAGTCTCAAAGTGCTCTCCTCCACTTTTGAATTTCACCTTATAATTAATGCCACACAGTTTCAAATTCCCTTTTTGGAGTTATACTTATGTTTAAGTTCAAACTCTGCCATTTATTAGCTATGTGAATTTATACAATCTGAAGAGAAATGAGAGCTTTAGTTTTCTGCTTTCAAAGAAAAAATTTATAATAAAGCATTGTTGTGTGGATTGAATGATAATGTGATGGTGTAGGCAGAATATTTTGTAGGACTACCGTATAGTAAGTGCTCAGTAAATTAACCATCATCAACATGATCATGATCATCATCACCATCATTATTGCTATTTAAATTTTAGCTTTCTTCCCCAACCAAGCTATAAAAATCTGTTGTTTGAGTACACAAATATTACACTATTAGAGTATATTGATTATAATAGTTTCAGAAAACAATTTTGAAATTGAACTGATTGTTATTCTCTGATTTAGCAAGGAGGAACTTGATAGATATGGCTTACTACTTTATAGTGTTTAGGATTTTTCCACAAAAAATGTCATTGTGGCACCTTTATAAGTAAACACCAGAACTTTTAAGCTAAATATTAGGATTTTGTGCAGACATAACCTACAGAAACACTTATTTAGCTATGTTAGTCTGGTTAACCCCATCACAGTTACAAAGATTACACCCTCTCATGACACACAGCTAATATAAAGTGGGCTGCTCAATACCGCCCATAAAATATAAAGAAAGTTGAACATCATGGGAATGTGAACTGGCCTTAATGTATAGAAGTCTAATAGATAAATCATTTTCAGTGCCCTTCTTATTCTACACATGCGCATTCGTCCTCTATTCTTTTCAACCCCATTTCCTCCCACTCCCCATACAGTCTTCTTCCGGCCATACTAAACTTCTTACCACTTGCCAAAAGTCCCAGTTTTTCCCACCTCTTTGGAATTTAGCACAAATATTATCATTTTAATTAAAAGAAGCTTTCTAGAATCTCTCAGTTCCTTTCCTCCTTGTACTCACAGCTTTTTGTGCATACCTCCATTAAAACATTTACACATTATGTGGTAACTATTGCATGCACCGTCTTCCTTACTAGTCCATAAACAACTTGAGAACAGGGATTTTGTTTCATGTTTCTTTATATCTTCAGTTCTTAGCAAAGTATTAAGAACAAAGTATGTCCTCAATAAAAGTGTTGAATGAATGCATCAACACAATACAAAGTTCAAACAGTAAATATCAAGTTACTTAGTCTAACAAATCAAAGATCTTGATTATTTACATGTAAATAATTAAATTATTAACACTAAAGAAGTCTTGATAAATTTTATTAGCTTCCAAGCTTACCTGCACGTCTTAGCTGCAGTATGTCAGGTGGCACACCTAATAGGTATGCAAAATGATCCCTGAGGTACTTAAAAACGCGGTCAACATTAAAAGGCACTATAATTTCCTGGCCCACAGGAATAAGTACCACTTTTACTGTAGATTAAAAGAGAAAAGAAAAGAAAGAATCATGGTCCAAAGCAAGGGTCAGCAACCTACAGTCCACAAGCAGATAGAAAATTATGAAACAATGTTTAATCGCATACAATGCAGTTGCTTCTGCCATATTCCCCACAGCATCTCCATAATAAGAGCTTATTTTTCATTTTCTATGAGGAGAAGTGACAAACATTCAGTTGCAATCTTTCGCTTTGAAAATCAATTCTGAATCCCAAAAATTAGCATCGATGATGAACACCTACTCCCCGCCAGCTCAGAATTCAGATATCTCTTCTACTCCCTGGCATGAGGATCAGTGCACATTCAGGATTACCTCCTTGCTCAGACTACCATGAGAAATAGAAAATAAAACTCAACTGCTTTGAAAAATTCCCAATATCTGCTATATATTACTTGATATAGACATAAAAAGGTCTCAGAAAATTAAGCATTTTTGTGTAGTATTGGAAAGAGACCCTGAGGCCTAGAGAGTGTCCCAATGCATTGATTACATATTGATATCACACCTCACTAAATCAGTGCATATTTATGAAATTAAGAAAAACTGATAAACTTTCAAAGAAATTTTTCTTTGACCTTACAACTATAAAAGGTATCTCATACTAAGTCCACTCTTCTTCCCATAATTTACTTATGTCTATAGTGACCAAAATGCAAAACAGAAAATCAGTTTTGCAAATATCTGAAGTAACTACACACAAACCCACTTTTTACAAAACTGGACATTATGTGGCTCACTCCCCACTTTATAAATAGGAAATCAAGACATGTTGAAAATAAAGAAAAAACATCATTATAAAATGATTATCTCTTCATAAATTATAGGAAGGAAATACAATATTTAAAAATTGTTATGGGGTAAACTTTTTTCTTTTTCACCTACAGACTTAAAAATGTAATGAAGCAGATGGAAAAAATAAGATGGAATATAGAGTGCACACTGTAAGCTAAGAATATCCTGTCTATTTCTCAGTGTCTGATATGACAGTTTTCATAAGCTAAATGAGACATCAGTAATCCCAGGACAAAATTCAGCTAGGCATTGTTGATGCTAAGGTTCTTCGAACTTGTTAAAACTTTTCATGGTTCTCTGTCAACATAAAGAACACTTCCTCAGATGTTCAATTCTCAGAAGGTTGTTTTAATTCTTTTATGGATTCAAAGTTTGGTGATAAATACATTGTAAAATTCTCTTAGCAGTGACTTCCTAAGCTTTGGAAGGGAGGTGTGTTAAGGAAATTGTGAGCCTCACGACCAAGGCAACTGTTTTAAAAATCACCATGTGTTTGTTATAAGCTACAATAACAGGGAATCACAGAAATATGAAAAAATGAACCCAAAATGTACCCTGAGTAGTGAAACTGGAGAATAACACTGTCAGTTAGTGTAATGGGCTTGACGGCCTTCTTCCTTCTCACTCTTAGCTTACCGGGACACACTCACAAGGGTCAGTTGCTCCACTGGGTTCAAAAGCCCCATTTTACCGGCCAGACTAAGCTGCTGTTATTGTTATTAAGTGATGGCTCATGTTCTCACCCTCTGAATGAAAACTCTCTCAAAACATGTGAACAAAGGGGAGAAGCAATACTCAGTAAACCATGCAAGAAGAAAGGTTCTCTGCGTAACCTCCCTCTGCTTTGTTACCAACAATGTAGTGATAACTCCTCCGTGCCACCAACATTATATCTTTAAAATTAAACCATTATGAAAAACAATTATTTTTCTGAAGCTAAATATAAGGTAACACTATGCAGAAATTTGGACAATGTAAAAGCAACATGATATGTGAGCACTGGATATGAGACTAGGAAATCTGGAGTCAAGTTTCTATCCACCGCTTGCTAGGTATGTACAATGAATTCCAAACTGGCATGCAGAAAAACTACAATTATACTCAAGAATTTGTCTATCATTTTCCAAGATCCCTAAACATTTTTTAAATCTCCTTGATCTAGGAAAAACAGATAAATATTCATTTAAAATTTAAAGATGTTCATTTATTTAGGGAGAGTAGATACTGCAGAATAGAGAAGAGCTTCACACATAGTTAAAAGATTCAAGTGGTGAAGCTGGAGAAGTTTGTGGATAGGAAAAGGGAAAGTAACATCAAATATAAAGCAATCTTTAAGCAAAAACAAACAAGAAAAAGTAACCATTCTTCTGCTGAGGATAAGAAATAGCCTCCCTTCCCTAGGTAATACCTGTTGCTGAAGAAGCTATCACTGCTGTTTTCAGAGATTCCTTTACAGTCTTCATTCTATCCAGATATGCCGGATAATAACCATCTGAATGCTGTTTGGCTGACTGTGTTGCATTATCGATTTCCCTTAGGTAGCGCTCCTTATAACGTCTTGGGGAACCTGAAACTCGTTCGGATGTTGTAGCCTCTTCCATGAGTATCTGTTCTTCGTTTGATTCCAGGCTTGAAGAGCTCTGGTCACTGTGCTCCTTAGCACGTGTTTCATGGCCACCACCAGATGGTTCCAGTTCAGATTCATTGTCTTCAGTTTGATCTGACTCTGGAAGCTCTTCTGAGATAACTGGAATATTGATAGTCTCATGAACATCATCACTTTCTCCTGCTGCATTAGGAATATTCGGAGCATCGGATTCTTCTTTCTCTTCAGACATTTTCCTGAATTGAGAAAATTAATACATTTACTATACATAAAAACTTATATGCCAAATATCAAATTCATTGCTGGTACATAGTAACGTTCATAATATACTATAATGTTGCTCATTACTTTTTTAAAATGACTATCTTAGTAACTGCGTCAGGTAAAACACCAGTGAATTTTTAATAAAAACACCACAGAAAGTAAAAATGTATACCAAGAAGGAGCCTCCAAGCACAATTAATTTAAAATAAATCTTCTTTGAAGAATATATTGAAAAATATTTTAAAATATATTGTCTCTTCCTTATTCAATAATCAATGGTTGTGAAAGAAAGACTTTTTGAATAACGTTTTTTCTAAACACAAAACTAACATAAAATTTATACTCTAGGACTATAATTGATTAGATGCTCCAAGAAACCTGCCAGCTCACACAGCAACTATATCCTGGATAGTACACTCTCTTTGTAGTAGCTTTGCTCTTACAAGCCGTAGCTGAGGTCTCCAATGACCTTTACCTCCTCTCAAAACAAACATCAACAAACAAATGTGGGTTGCTCCTGGAGCTGACTGGGGCTTGAGATACTACAACCAGTAGCTTTGTCTTGGAAAACAGTATGACAGCATTCAAGAGCTTGGGTCAGAGTAGAAGAGGGCAGCCCAGGGCCAAGCTGCAGAGGTAGGAGTTGGTTCAGAGCAGTGAAGAGCCAGTCAGCAGTGAGCCTACCTACAGAAGCTGGCAATCAGGGAGGAGGGACAGAGGAAGTGACCTTGAGGCTGATTTCTGTGGCAACCAGCAGAAGGAAGATTAAAATTTGGAACAGTAGTGAGATGGGGAAGCTGTGATTGGGGCTTCCACTTTAAGCACAAATCCTTATGGAGAAAAAAATTAACCTTAGTCAGTGAAATTGTCTGGCTACTAGATGACAAATTTCAACAACAAAAATATAATACAGTTGTTGAATCCAATGACTATAGCATTAGAGTTAAAGAGATAGTTAGAAAACTGGAAGATAAATAGATTTTACACAGAGTAGTGCAAGGAGAAAAGGATATGAAAAATGTGAGAATTTAAGAGCCTGGAAAAGAGAAAAAGAAAGCCTAGTATATTTTTCTGCTAAGCATATATCTTGTTGTAAGCTAAGAATGGGTTTGTATTGCTAAAATAAAAAACAACAAAAAATATTCCAAGAGACTTCATGTGGCTTGTGAAGCCCTTTCCAGAAAGTTTGCCAGGCCCTGATCTAGCATGTATCAAATTGAAGTCCCAGAAGAAAATAGAGGGATGGAAAAAAGGAAATATCTTAAAAAATAATGGCTGAGTGCCCTACCCGGTTTTGCTCAGTGGTTAGAGTGTTGGACTGCAAACTGAAGGGTCCCGGGTTTGATTTCAGCCAAGGGCCACATACTATGGTTGCAGGCTTGATCCCAGTCCCCAGGAGGCAGCCAACTGGTGTGTCTCGCTCATGCCCATCTTCTCCCTTCTCCTTCCTTCCCTCTCTCTCTCTCCCCCTTCCACACTCTGAAAAGCAATAGAAAAAACACCCTCAGGTGAGGATTAAATAAATAAATAAATAAATAAATAAATAAATAAATAATACTGGCTGAGAATTTTTGAAAACTTATGAAATATATGGATCCACAGATCCAAGGAACACAGCATAAATATATACCTAACAGGATAAATAGAAATAATTCATAGCCATGTACATCGTAATTAAATTACAGAGTAACAAAGACAAAGAGGCGGTCCAGAAAGCAAACAGTGATAAAGGACATGTCATCTACTGTTTAGAATCATATTAATTTGCTGACATTAATGAAAAGGAAAGAAAAGTAAAATGACTGCAGATTGCACCGGCCCTTTTTGGAGAGTCTGGGGTAAAGCTCTTGTTTCTATCTGGTGGGTCATCCTTCCCCTAAAATGCCTAAGACGGCATCTTCTAAATCTGCAACAGCCCTCTATTACTGAGGGCTGAAAAAGGTCACAAACGTGTTCTAAGCGGACCCGGGCCACACGGGTGTGCCTGCGCCGCTGCCCTGAAAGCACTAGGGCTGGGAGGTGAGGCGCGAGCCCCGGTCACTGCGCCGGGCCAGGGGAGGAGCCGGGAAAGGGTGCTCTGCGCGGCTTTTAAAGCAAAGGGGGAGCATTCCCATGGCTTTTAAAGCAAAGGGGGAGCACTCCCACGGCTTTTAAAGCAAAGGGGGAGCATTCCCGGCCGGCCGGCCGGCCAGTCAGTCCCCAGAGCCCGGACGGCACCAGCGCCCGGCACAAAGACCTCGGAGTCCAGCGCCCGCAGATCCCTGGGTCAGGGCGGGCCTAAGGGCGGGGTCAGGAGAGCGCAGCCAGAACCCGTCCTCCTACCCGACTGAGAAACTCGACCACTCTCGGGGAAGCGGTTTCTCAGGCTCCTGAAAGCGGCCGCACTCGCCGGATTCTCCGTTACTTGAAGTATCCTAGCAACGGCCCTGGCATCACCTCCCCGGCCTCGCGAGAAGGGAAGGT